GCCAATATATCTACACTGATCATAATACCACCTTCTCCTCAATGAATCCAAAAAAATGTTAAGTGTAAGAAAAAAAGGGTTGCAAAATATACCTGGAATAAAAGAATGAAATAATAGGCGCCAAGGAAGAACGCAGATTGTACTTGCATAAATGGTGTTTGATAAGGCCACAAACCAAGCGCAGTTAACATAATCCGATAAATATTGTAATAACGTTCACCAGAAAAGACCATCTTACTTAGTACACGGAATATGTGCGAATGGAAACATCGTGGAATTACTGAATAACATCGTACTGAATATTTTTTTTATTTTCCGTAAGCTATCTCTTGTAAGAGAAAAATATGTGGTAGGCTATGCAATTTAATAATTTTCTATAATTATGCAGTAAGAACAAAAAGTGCTATAATTTCATCACCATTTGAAATAATAGTATTCTACATAAAAACGATTATTTTTATGGCAATTGTTAATGTTATAAGAAAATATACGTAACATTACGTTTTTATAGTTAATACTAGCGTAGGTCAGAGTAACTTGGCGTGAGAACGCAGTTTATAGTATAATAAACTTCAGTGGACAAACAAATTCTATCTCAAAGCAATTAAAAATATCTTATAAGGTAAAGCATTAGAAGCTTTTCGAAAACAATCTGTTATGTTGAATGACGTATTATATGCACTATACGCATATATTTTATTTGTCTTTTGCAAGAGCAAAGGTATTGACTGCTATTGTTTGGACATTCGGACAATCTCACGACACACGGAAAATCGCTGTTCGCAAATGTAAATCAGGTACTTGCTAAAATAAAATAGCATCATTACAGTTGGCATGCTGTTTTTCAACAAAACACGCAACGATTCTCCGTGCGCGTCCCGCGATCATCCCGAATTTAATTACCGAATTCTATTGATTACTTTTATCTTGCTATTCTATTGATTACTTTACTTTATCTAATAGTATAAAAGGAAGTTCTGATGTATAAAATACTTTAGATTTTCATTAAAGTGTTACTTTCAATTATGATCAGAATTTAGTTTAGGATTAATATTCCAGAAAGTGCAGAACAATTTTAGTATAAGAAATAATTATGTATGTGCTTATATCAACATTATCTTGTAATTATTATGCACATTAAATTCTTATAAACCTCTTACAATTCAATTTCAAGCATTTGGTAATTTTTGCTTCATATTATCTCTCTCTCTCTCTCTCTCTCTCTCTCTCTCTCTCTCTCGATACTTTTAAATATAACTTAGAGATGTAGAATAAATTTGTACAGTAAAAGTCATATGTGCATGTAAAACGTTTATTGTCTACATCATTGAAAATTAGCGTTTTGTAAGATAATCCTTTTTATAGAAAATTTTTATAAAATCACTAATAAAAGATTTAACAAGACGATGCTTGATGTGCTGTAAACAATTACGATTTTAAGTATAAACATGCATAAGGTATAATATTATTTGTAATTACGTACCTTGCAATTTTCTCAATGCATATTATTGAATTTCTCTTGTAACATTGCATATGTACTAGCATGACGAAGTATCAGCGATATTACATCGCTATTGTACAGAATAAAGTATTGTTAAATAAGACAATGCTGTAGTAACTAGCTATAAAAATATAGTCTTTTTTTCTATTTCTAATTTCAGAAACGGAATTAATTCTAGTTGTTATAGTAATTAATTGAAATATGGTAGATTTTAAAATTATGTAATATTATGCAAAAATTAAATTTTATTTTTAAATAATTTACATCTTTTTAATTGTTCGTTTAATATAATAGACCTTGTATTTTAATTTGTTATTATATTTTTGTAATTGCTATACTTTACATATATTACCGTAGCAAAACCTTCCAGCGATGCCACAAATATATTACAGAGAACTGGTTTAAAACTTTTTACTGTACGATGCATTAAAAATAAAAATATTTTTTGTGATGATAATGGAGCAATGTACCACAATGCATTACATCTAAAGAGTCCAAAATAGATTAAATTTGATTGTTGACATACATATACTTAAATATAAAATGTATTTATGATTAATTTTGTGTGTTTTTATATGCAATTCGAAAAGATGAGAGAAGAAGAGGAAAGGAGGGAGAGAAAGAGAGAGGGAAGGAGGGAAGGAGGGAGGGGAGAAGAGAGAGAGAGAGAGAGAGAGAGAGAGAGAGAATTATTATAACACAACGATGATATTTCAATTTATATTAATATTTCTTTGTGCCTTACAAAATTTTTATTTTTATGTTTTTTTAAGTTTTTTTTTTTAAGGTTTTTAAAGTTTTTTTTGACTAAATTATACTACTTGTTAAAATAAAAAAACTTTACAGTTAATGTTTCAATAAATACTCACGTTGCATTAAAAATATCATCACTATGATCGGTTATTATTTGTCCGCCAAAATTGGCTCCAAACATATAAACAAAATGAGATCCCACGACTGTGATACTTGAAAACAATTCTGCTGTATTCTGTCTCGTAGATGGTAGAAGCAACTACAGTGTTATTACACAATAAGATGTTTCAATGAGATTGTTTAACACAATTGTTTAACACGACGATAACGAAAAAGATTGTTTATAGTTAAATACAACTATATGTAAAATTTATTTATATAATTAATTTAAGTAAAGTTATTAAATACTGTACTTACATAATATAAATTAATGCTCATGGAAACAACGCCAGTTATAATTAAAATAGCAAATGGTATCGTAAAATATGATATAATTCGATCAATGAATCTTTAAAGAAAAAATAAAAGGTCTGATTAATATATTAATGGCAAATCATTTTGAGTTATCTCGTTATAACATTTTCAATAAATATTACCTTAACTAAAATACTAAATATATAATAACATAAATTAACATATATTTAAAAGAGCTAAAAATATTATAATAAAAATTGTTTTATTATAAAATTTGTAATAATTATTTTCTTCTTTAAATAAAAAATTAATTTTGTATATTAAATATATCTTTATTTTTCCATGCAATCCATTCAATTATCGATAAAAATAACGTATCATAGAGCATGTTTAATCCTCATTTTATAATTAATACTTAATCAACTTGGTAAACAAATTCACAATATAATAATCATTTTCTGTGATATTTGATACATATAAAAATGTACACAAGTAAACACGCTACTATTTTAATTATTTTTTCTCTTACAAATTCAATCTGATACGCACTTTAGAGCCTTCCTATGTAAATCTATAGCACGTACTATTCTACTGCAGATTATACGTTCCATTTGAGAGTTGGAATTTTGCAGCATGTTCTTGTCTAACACACGTTCTATTCGAAAGCTAAGAATTTTTTTAGTCGATCAAACAACAATTTCATTATACATTAGTAGTAAATGGATTTTTTTACCTAACAATTTTTAGCATCCCACAAATATGTTGCGCATAAGCCAAAGTTACTGTACCAGTAGCAACCATTGTAAAGCCTCCTGTGGCAAGCGCGAGAATTTCGTGCATTAGGATAAGAAGAAAATATTTTCTAGGATCGATAAAATATTCCATCGGCACGTGCGTGTTAAATGGTCGAGATTCATTCAATGGTATAACAATATCGAGTAAAATAGGCAAAAACTCCGTAAAGGAAAAGATGATCAGGCTCATACATAATAATACTATGAAATATTGAAATAAAATAATCTTTTAGGTAAGTTTTCCAATTAAATAGATTTCGGAAGAGTTAAATAAAGTTCCTAAATATTTTTCCTTTCTTACGTATAAGAATAATCGTAAAAACATTCGTTACGTAAGCATATTTTTCCAATATTTCGATTTCCTTCTTGTCATCTAAAGCATTCCAGTCATTTTGTACTTCATCCATCAGCAATTTAACCTATAATCGTAATATTTAAGAGTGATATTTAAAAATGATGTATATATAATCGTAATATATAGTATATATATATAAATTTATATAAAAGTATTCCAGAATAATCGTCAAATATTTCATGTTGATAGAGCGAACTAAACTGAATTGAAAAGTCCTCTACAATTTTGCAATTTTCGCAATAATTAACAAGATATTAATCAGTAAAAATTAGAGATGCACCGGATTGTAAAATTACCGGATACCGGATATCAAATATCCAGACAGAATGTAACATCGGACATCCGGAAAAGCAATTTCTTCGACTTGGATATTCGACATTTTCAAGATATCAACAATGTATTATATAAGATATTATCATAGCATCATAAATATGCATACTTATTTCCAGAACATTTACCATATATAAAAAAAAAATCAACAATTTAATGGTATTAAATTTCAACCGGATATATTCCTGGATACTAATAATATCTGGATATCTGGTCGGATAATAAAAAAGTGCCGAATATTTTCCGGATGTTCGATGTATCCCTACTAAAAATCGCTGAATATTGGTTTTCAATAATTTTTATTCAAGTATCTATCAATTTTACAGAAAAACAAGAAGAAACAAAAATTGTTTATTTTATTCTCATAGAACTTTAAGAATTTTTTATCAATTTTTTAATAGTGTATTTTTCTTATAGGCAATTATTTTTATCAACATAAGAAAATGCGGTACTAAAAAATTTTGAAAAAATTCTCAGAACTTTATGAAAAAAAAATAAATAATTCTTGTCTTTTTTTTTGTAAAGTTAATAATACTTGAATAAAAAATTATTGAAAACCAATATTCAACGACTTTTATTAATTAATAACTTGTTAACTATTGCAAAAATTGCAAAATAGTAGAAGACTTTTCAGTTTAATCTGCTCTACCAGCACATGAAATATTTGGCGGTCGTTCTGAGACACTCTGTATATATACAAGTGCAAGTTATTAATATTGACAAAATTTATTGTATATATAAATATATATCT